TTAGTATCAATATTATTGGGTTTTTCAGGCCCATGAAATTGGACCTCGGTATTACACCAGAGCTGTTCATGCCACTACAGTTCAAAGTCTCCCACTTTTTTGTATGAGAATCTTGTCTACTTTGTTATGAACATTACCCTCATCAGGAAGCCGACATACATTTGAACACAGTGAGAAAAATGTTAAAGTGGAAGTATTGTTAAGATATCTGACCAATTTAAAAACATCTTTCATCTATAACAGCTGTAGGCTGAATGGAGCAAGTCCTGGTGTCAGATGTACAGTCTGAGAAAGCAGGTTTGAGTAAAATGAATCCTACGAAGAGAACTGTCAGCACTTGTCAGTAGTGTCAGAAGAGCTGTTAGTCAGATCTGAGTTTCTGTAGCCGACTATACCTTGGGTTTACTTCAGAAAACTCCTTACAGGTTTAAATCCTGGACACTGAAATCCCCAACAAAATTCTCATTTGCTCCAAGTGTGAAGCAAAGTTAATTTATCTTACTTCCTACTGCCTTCATCAACAAAGCCCAAATGGAATAAGAATTTAAAACTGTCATGTTTTGTACAGCTGCTACCAGAGAGGATGAGCAGAAGCAGCAGGACAGCCTGCTGCTGTTTTATCTGTCCACAGACAAATGGGCCATAAAGTGTAGCAAAATTCTCTGTCTTGCCTCAAGGTGACGTGTTTATCTCTAGAGAACGCTCAATTTCAGAATTCCTTCTGAAGATGCAGTTAGTTGAAAAGTGCAGGTGCAGGTGCTTGCAAATACTCTAACCATTTGTGCATCATTCTGAAGGAAATAAAAGTCTGAAATGAAGGATTGCTCGTATTTTGAAGGCAAGGGCAATATAATGATGGGAATTTGTTCTGAACAAATACATCTGAGGTCAATTGGATCTTTTAAACTCAGAATACTTTAGGAATTCTCTAAATGACTGTATTTATGCTATATTGACATATATGAAATATGGTTCAGAATTTCTACAATATCCATGTAAGTCTTCATGGGTATTCTCCAGCAGTGAAAGGACTTGCTCCTACCTAGAGGAAAGTGATGTGACATTTGTTTTTTACTGTATATAAAAATTATGCAGCCTTTATATTCAGTCTTATTTCCAAGCTGTTTTCAGTAGTTAGTAAATAACTGCCCAAACATGATTCTTCATCACTTTGCAGCTTGTGTTGTCATTTGTGTCACTAAGAAAGCAGAGTGCACTACTGTCATTCCAGTCTGGAATATTTTACAGATATTTTCCTAATGATGAAGTGAAACAAATGACTGCACAAGGCAGCAGGCAGGGCTCATTCCCACTTGTACATTTCAGTCATGAGGCAACTTTTTCTCTCACCGTTGTAACTGTTCCAGGTGTTTTTTTTTACTGAGAAATTCTGTAAGTATTAAGCAAGAGATGACAAATTTCCACTTGGGATGGTCACTTCAGAGATCATTCCTTCCGAATAGGAATGAAATGGGAAGTGGAGAGCAGCCTCAGTCATCATCTTTCAAGTATGTGGAGGATCAAGTCTATATTTTGGCAAGTGACACCCTTGCAAAGTCCCATGCTTTGCATGACTCTAAGCAGTGAAAGTGCTTTAGAGCATTTGCACAAACATATCATTTATCCTTCCTCAGATCAAATTCCCATGGCTGGAGATGCAAAGGAATTTTCCCTCATATTTTGCATCTTATTTACTCATGTCCCACAGGCGAGCACTATGGTATGACTGGAAGCTTGTCATCACAAGAGATTTAGAAGTAACACAGTGATATGGATTGCTGAAACACAGTAGCCTGTGAAATTCATGAGTCTCTGCTGTTTATTCATATTAATGCCTGTGAATGATTAATCAGTTGATATTGCGATCTTATATTCCTCTACTTCCCTTCATCCTGTCTACTAATTGGGACACAGTTGTGAAATAGGGATTTCTAAGACATTTATTATTATATACAGTGGATCAGATAACCTAGTAATGCAGCCAGCTCTTCCATCATGGGTGGAGAAAAGAAAGGCAATTACTCAGAAATTGTGTGCTCCAGCAATGCTCAGGTGATAAACAGTATTTAAGAATTTTAATAGCCCAAGGGAGATAGAACCTCCTATTGTGCTGTGACCAGCGTCAGAGAACCTCTTGCCAATAAACAACTCTATCATATTCAGTATTGACAATCTCCAGTCAAAAAAAAAAACAAGGGAGGAAGTTTGTACCAGGGATGACATCTAATGAAGACACATCTACATCACACACAAAATATTAATAGTGAGTTTCTCTCAAAATGGCTGCTCTGTAAGAGAAAACCTGGTTACTACATGTGCCAGGAGCGAAAGAACCCAGTTACAACAAACGTCAGAAGCAGTACATCTTTATGTCTTATTGGGTAAAAGCACACTAGTGGAGTGAGCTAAGCTTCAGAAGATGCGTTTCTTTTTCCTTCTTAAAAAAATTGTATTTCTTTATTACACTGGCTTGGTCATTCTTCAGCCAGGCTGTTCATCAGCCAGCTCTAGTGTAAGAAGCAGTTTGGAGGGAACTGAGGTTTTTATAGTACCATGGTAACCATAAGTTGCTCCTAAGTGATCTCACTGTCAATTAATAACCAGATCTTTTAAAGTGTTACTAATTTAGAAAATAAACCCTGACATCTTTGTCTTCAGAAAAGATATGTGAGAAAGATCATTACTGGTGTAAAGCAGTGTAGTGCTTAACACTGGATTTAATTTTTCAATGTGAAGTAAGATGTTTTTCCAAAGTACTGCCAAATAAATCTCACCTAAGGGAATAGGAGCTGTGATAGAGCTGCAATTTGTTTTCAGATTTTATTGTGACAACATTCTGCAGTGAGCCAGACAAAACCACACAAACTTAAGTAGAAATAACTGAGCCAAAAAGTAATTGTCATAATTATATGCCAGGTAGTCAGATTAATAATGATAAAATATTTTTCCTCCCACAATGCTGTTTATTAGCCAGCAACAGAACTTAATCTTTGCTTTGCTTGTCACATGGTTTGTGAGAGACCTTGGAGAAAAATATTCATGTGTTTGGTTTTGGTTTTTTTTTTTTCATTTCATTCAGGACATTTTCTGCAAAACCCTTGCCCTAATTTTCATCATGATCAGGAATTGTAAATAACTTGTGCTATAAGTCTGGCTCCTCCAGCAGGAAGGCTACATTGTCCATCCAGTGCCAGTAAGGTGGAAATACCCTTAATTTTATGTTCAGTTAAATATAGGATTTGCCTTTCTGTTTGAAGTTTTCTGAATCATTTAGCTTGGAGAGTTTTCTTGTGGAAGAACTGATTCACATGTTTATTTTTTTCTCTCAAATTAGTGACTCCCCAACAAGACTTAACTCTCCTTGTGCTCTTTTCTGTATGGTGTGTCCTCATCCGGAATTACCACAGTATTCATTAAGCAAAATGGTACAGACTTTTTACTTTGCAGCCTTTTAGCTTTTTTACAGAAGTAAAATTCTTTCATTAGTTTCATAGAGTAACATGTTTTTTCTTAATTATCTTTTGGAAGAGATTTGAAGCCACTATTAATTCACAGTAAAACTTAAGTGTCAAAGTGTGTTTTTAATAGGGATCTTAAAGATGTTACTACTGGACATTCCTTTTAATATACCATCTTCATTTAATTGAAATAATGATCTTTGAAGATCCCTTGATTGCCTGGAGGAGGAGGCCCATGTGGACTATGTGAAGTTCAACAAGACCAAGTGCAAGATCCGGTACCTAGTTCGTGGCAATCCTAAATATCAACACAGACTGGGAGATGAATAGATTGAGTGATGAATAGACTGAGTGCAGTCCTGTAGACAAGGACTTGGGCATACTGGTAGATGAAAAACTGGATATGAGCCAGCAATGTGTGCTCACAGCCCAGAAAGCCAACTGTATCCTGGGCTGTACCACAAGAAACGTGGTCAGCAGGTTGAGGGAGAGTATTCTGCCTTTCTAGTCTGCTCTGGTGAGACCCCAATTGCAGTACTACACTCAGTTTTGGGGTACTCGGTTCAAGAAAGACATGGACCTGTTGGAATGAGTCTGGAGGAGGGCCATGAAAATGATCAGAGGGCTTTAACACCTTACCTGTGACGACAGGCTGAGAAAGTTGGGGCTCATCAGCCTGGAGAAGAGAAGGCTCTGGAGAGACCTTATTGTGACCTTTCAATATATAAAGGGGTCTTATAAAAAGATGAAGGAAGACTTTTTACCAAAGCCTGTAGAGAGAGAACAAGAGGCAGTAGTTTTAAATTGAAGGAGAGTGGATTGAAATTGGACATAAGGAAGCATTTTTTATGATGAGGTGGTGAGGCGCTGGCACAGGTTGCCCAGAGAAGTTATGGATGCCCCATCCCTGGAATTGTTCAAGGCCATGTCAGATGGGGCTTTGAGCTACCTGATTTAGTGAGAGATGCTCCTCCTCATAGTGAGGGGGTTGAACTGGACGATCTTCAAATGTCCCTTCCAACTCTAAGCATTCTGTGGGTCTCTGATATCTGCCACTTCTAACCACTGTTTCCTTCTTGTAACTATTCTTGGCTAGCATTGACCTTCTTTGCTGCTTCATATCTGAAGGGCCAAATATTGTGAGATATTAATCCTTAATCATGTGTATCCCTGAGTATTATGATATAAACATACATTAGTTTTCTTAGAATGAAGGAAAGAGATAACACACATTTTGCAAATATTTGTCTTTTTTGTTTCTAATTTTTGTTGAATTTCTGATTCCTTTATGCCATAGAGATAATGCGTTAAGAAAATTTTATACAGAAAAATATTTTCTGAAAGTAAATATTACCCAATTTGGAAGTGAAAAAAAAACCAAAACAAAGCAATCCAAAATTAACAGGAATTGTATTATGACTCTGGAAAGACTGCAGTTATCTCACTGGTATACTCTATACTGGTTGCATATATTTATAAAAGATATAGATGAGCCATATATAAAAATTTTGATTATAAATGTTTTCTTCATTTTACCCACAGACTTGCTGCTTTCAAACAGCTGCATCCCATTCCTGGGATCTACAGAGGGGCTTGATTTTCGAACCCTGCTGCTAGATGAGGAGAGGGGCCGGCTGCTAATTGGGGCTAAAGACCACATCTTCCAGCTCAACTTGGTTGATTTAAACAAAAACGTGAAAAAGGTCAGTGTATTTTCTGCAGTTTATCTCCTAAGTTAAATTTTGTTAAATCTTTTTATTTATTTATTTATTTGTGGTGAATGCAGATTCACTGTGCACCGCAGTCTACAAGGATTTGATAATCTCACCTCCCATAGTTATACAGATTATCTTCGTTCAGTTGAATTTCTCATGTTATATGATCTGTGCAACTGATGCCCTGCAAGAGATCAGCGACCCGGAAGAGTCCTGCAGTGCATGAAAATAGCATCAAAATATCAGCAAACAGGAAAAATGCAGCTCAGAGTGTTCACCTCTCAATTTCTCTGGTCATGGTTACCCTATTGGATTAAAAGCATTTGAAAGGAAATAACTGAAGACAGCTCTTTCATTGCTTCCTGGCATCACTGGGATTACTTTACTGTAATATTGAGCAGAGTGCAGGCAATTTGGATGGTTTAAATTATAGTAAAATGTAAGTGGCAATTTTAATATTAATATTTGTGTTAATACCTAAAATTACCAGTGATAGGAGAAGCTTCCACTGGGATCTACTGTACTCCCTTGCCCATGGCCTGTGACAATGTGTTAACTCCAGATAGTATGATGGCAATTTAGGTTTCAATATTTCTAGCGGACACATTGAACTGGAGCTTTTTGAAAAGCACTCATAGCACAATTGACTGCTATGAGTAAAAACCAGATGCTTGCACAGGAACACATGAAAACTGGTTTTCTGCTTCTTCCAGATATGAAGAAAATGTAAATTCTCAGCTGTGTTTGATATTTTCTTTAAGCACCAGAAGGGGGTTTTAAGTTACTGTGTTCTCCTGTCAGCTCTGAAGGGGTAACTGACCCTGAATTAATGTGACTGCAGGCAGGGCTGAACAGGTGGAACAAGAGACTATTTTGCCCACATGTTTGAGCACAACACTTGCTGTCATTGTATAGAAGAGATACAGTACCAGGCTGAATATCTTATTTCTTATCTTGACTTCTGCAATGCCGGACATGCCAGTTTTGTTAAAACTCAGATTCTGAGTATTTCAGGAAGTTTCTTCCCTGGGATGCTTTATCAAATACTTACCTTGCTTCTGTCATCTCAGCAGTTGACTTAAAACCCACCACCTCAGGATATTGCATTAATAACAGCACTGTTAATTATAATTGCAGATTTTCAGGCTACAAATTGATTTCTGGTGTAGGCTTTCTGTAGAAAACAAACTCTGTTTGTGTAAAAAGCAGACTTCTGTTTCTGTGGGATGCTGTTTGCCTCCTGAGAGATGCTGAGTGCTGTCACTTCCCATTATGTTCAGTGGGGCTTTATGAGTCCAGACCTTGCTGGAGGTGGTGGCACCCTGCGAGTGCCGCCCCTCTATCCAAGCTGGTGACATTTTGCCTTCAGCCAAACCACCACTGATCGTTGTGGACGTTGTGCTTTCCAAGAAGAGTGAGGCACAGATGGAGCTAGGAGAACTAATGTGCAATCAGTCAGTGCCATTTGGTATAGATGTTGTAGCACAAAGACTCACTTCGTACAGGAAGGAAAATATGCATTTGGTAAGCTGAATAGAGAATGTGTGCCCTGTGGTAACATGAAAGCAGGGAATAAAATTCCTAACCACTTGCATATCTGGACTAAAGGAATGATTGTGTGCACATTAAAATATTTCTTAGTTTAACCATTCAGGTAATATTTAACTTTTCACAAAAAAAAAAAAAAAAAAAAAAAAGAGGAAAAACATATTTAAATAGGTAAAACTGACTGAGAAGCCCTGCAAAGCATGCTGATGGGCTAATTTTGAAGATTTGCATTTACCAACTTTACAAAATTATCTTATTGCATAAATGCTCAGGTAACACAAAGCAATATCACATAAGTGCTTCTCTTTGATTCCTCTGTGCTTGGTTGGTAGAATCTTGCTAGTGGAGGGAAGGGATGAGATGAAGGAAGTTGCGTGAGAAGCCGTGTATAAATCTCAGTCCCTGCTGAGGTTTCAATGCTAAAGGATACTCTCCAGTAGCAGCAAAGTGTTAGAAAGTAGCGTTTGCCTGTGCTGTGTTTAGACTGACCGTGGTTTGGGTTGGCTCTGGGCCAGGCGGCTCGCTTCCAGGCTTTCCCAGTGTGAGGAAACCACACATGTTGGGACTACAAGGGTCTGAAGTGTGTCCTTTGTACTCCTCTGGAGTAAGAGTCGTCTGGAAAAAATAATCTGCTTACACACAGCCACTAAAATGAGTAGTAATTGATTAGAATATTAAGTTTCTGCCTATAAATGATGTGTTTATTAATGACTTTGAGGAAGGAGGGTTAAAAGCAAGTTGAGGAGGCGAGAGAAGTGCAACAGCTTTGAGACTAGAATGCAAGATTATGCATAGTTTGGGGTTTTCTTTCTTTAAAACAAAGCTGAATGTGAACTTTAAAAATACTCTATGCTGGGTAGATTCAGCTTGCTTTAATAAAGCTCTCAATTTCAGATATTTGTTTTATTAGGAGCAACTGATACCTCCAAAAGCCAAGTCAGGATCCTCCAAGAATTTATTCTCATATGTGGATATAATTACTTGGCAAGATTATATTGTAGATCTAATGCTCTATATTAAGACATTTCTGGAATACTATTCAAAGAAGCATCCAAAGCATTGTATCCTGCTCCCTTCTCTAATGTATACATATATATAATTTAATAGCTTCCTTTTTACAACCTATTTATTTACATAAATTGGTTAATTTGACTTACATATATTAAGTTACGGCTTTATTTCCTTGGGTATTTTTCCTGATGAAATAAATCAATATTTCTGCTGGAGTCCCAATTTCTTAAATCATTGTAGTTTTTATTCAATTTATTGTGTAATAGGTTGAAAACTTCCTTAGCTGGAAGCTTGAAAAAAACATATCCAGTTTCCAGTGCTTGCAAACCTAATTATAAAACAACAGTAAGTACAACAGTGTAATAAGAAAGTCCTCCAGAATGACAAATGAATGCCGAAAACTAAAATTATTATAGTCAATAAATATATAAACTTTAACAACAGAGAATCATCTTTCTGTAGCAGGGATGTAATTTCTGTGAAGTTGTCCTGTATAGAAACCTTTAGCTCATATTGCAGGAGGTGCATTATCAACTGCCATAGTCTTTTTTTGAAACATCCTTATGTGCCTGACAAGTGCTGCAAGCTTTTTGTAAACTGGAAGATTTGTGGTTCCTTCCTATGAGTAAAATAAAGATGTTCAGCAAAACAAAGCAGACCTACTGAAGATCTTTATGCCATAACCAGTGGAAGTGCAGTGTAAAACAGACATTTAATAGCATGAGAGGCTGGAAAGCTGGACAAGAAATTCTATAGGAACCCTAAGCTCTGGGATCCTGCTGGAAACATTACTTCAGTACATAGCATTTTCCTGTGAGTTTGCTTAAAGCCTTTGTTATTTTACTCCCTAAACTAAATAAATACTAAACACAAAATGTTGTCAGCTGGGTAAACACAAAGTAGCTGCAAAGCAACGGTGCCCCTTCCTGTGGGTCTGCTGGCTAACAGTGCACGCGGGGTTACATGTCAGCACTATTATCATGGTGTAATCCACAGTGAGACCCGCCCAGCTCTGCAGGAATAGGAATGCTATCAAGGGCTGACAAGCTTTTGGAAAGCTGCCAACCTGCAGGAGCTGTCAGTGCTAGAAGACACAGCCACATGTGGGCCAAATAGATAAACACGTCAGATCCCCAATAGCAGCTTTGGAACAAGTTGTTTTCATCTGTCCCAGTGTGCACTGGCTCAGGGTCACAAATTATCATCCCTTGGAGCATCCTCAGTTTATAGTCGCTACTATATTTTGGTATTCCCAGGTACAGCTGTCTTGTGACATCCTTGAATGCCCTCTTGTATTGTTTATTATGTGTATTTCATGGGAAAATATATATATGCATAAATATATGTTTATCAACTGGGTAAATGCTTATGAAATAGTTTCACATACACTTTTTTTTTATAACTCTAGTGCTTGCCAAGAGTTCAAGTGGGCTTATATGTCAGCACTATTATCATTGTGCAATACTTGCAGTGTGACCCACCCATCTTTGCAAAAAGGGGAACATATATGCAAATACATATGCATATTTATGTAGAATAGCACCCTCGGGATACGGGAGCAGAATTTTACATTCATAGCTCTGAGAAATGTTCTGTCAGTCTTTATAAGCATGGTTTCCATTAAGAATGAACCCAGTGGGAATTTAGCCAGTAGTGAAGGGAGGCTTTCATTCTTGCCATCAGAGTCCAGGATGTTTATTGCAACCTTGAATCACACTAATACCAAGACTGGTCCTTCCTAAGCAAATATGTGCTGTTCATTCTATAACTCAAAGAAATTTAGCTTTCTGGCTGTCAGCAAAAGCTGTAGACAGTCTGAGAGTGAAGCTTTCTTGACCTGTCAGAAGAAAAAGCTTGAAGAAACATCACTGAAAGCCAAAGAGTCACATGGAAACCACTGGAGATACCTAAATTTCAGAAGCTGGGGGCGTGAGGACTGAGAAAGTCTAGAATAAACCCAGTGGAACTGCAGGAGGAATGTCATGAGTTTGATCCTCCACACATAGGGAATTAGTTCCCATCAGTAAATCCATACTGGAGGCCCTGCTTTTGAAACACATTGAACTTCTCTGGATGTTGCAGTTTATAGGTTACTCGTTTTCACCTGTTTTGCAGTATTTCCCTTCTTCCCAAGATTAATAGACATTGAAACCATCTTATCTATCATCTCCAATAAAACAAGACTGGTTTTACTGGATATCCATGAAGTCTGGTGTCCGGTTCCCAAAGCTGGTCAGTATGGGCACTAAAAGAAGAGTGCAAGAAAAAACTGTAACAGTGCTTCAAGTTAAGGACTTCCAGAGGCAAGAGTGATAACTTTGTGCTTGCTAGCACTTGGAGGCTCTTACCACTGAGATATTTACTCTTGTTTGGAACCTCTGGAAACCTTTTGGAGTGCATGAAATTGTTTAACAGACTTAAATTTAGGC